AATCGTAGATTGACGCTGGAGTACGACACGGTGTATTAGTAAATGAAGATGCATAAAAATGAAATCTAAACATTCTTTTAAAAAGCCACACGGCAAAGTCCATTTTGGACGAAAGTGGTGAAATAAAAACAACGATAAAATCAAAATGCCTGTCAGTTCAATTGTCATTCCTGCAAAAAAACAAACAAAAAACAAAGAACTCAACAACAATAGGTCCATGGAGGGAAGTTGTGCTGATATCAGCGGTTGGAGGCTCATCCACGATTTGGAACTTTGATCTTGGAGAAATGGAAAAGGGCTGGGATGGACTCAACCTCAGTAGTTTCGTTAAAATGGTGAGGTAGGCCTCGTCACAACTTTAGAAGGTTCAAAAAAGGGCTAAAACTGGCAGGCTGCTTTTGGCTTAAGTCTTTATTTCGCTTGTGCGTCTCTACAGGGATCTGCAGCATCCCGCACGTTTCAGATCTTAACGTCTTCTTGGATGCTGAGTTGTGAGAGAGTCTTCTTAATCCGCAGAGCCGTAAGCCGCGCCGCCCCATTGGCATACCAACATTCCCGCATGATCTTCCCCATCACTCTCAGCGCCTGCGGTGAGAAAAGCCAAATAAAAATGAGTTTTCCAGCCTCTCTCACAAGTATGCCTGTGAATAACAGCTGAATTTAATTAAAAGGCTGTATTTTCACATTGAAAAATCTCAGATGGCACGCTCAAAAATGGCGTTTCAAATTGCCAAGCATGTTTGTGGTGAATGCTGCGCCGTTATTTGAATGTTTTTTTCTTAGTGTGGTCTACTGTTATCATCAGTTCCACATGTACCAGCCCTAAAAGTCACATATTGACAGAAAAAAAAAACTGAGGCTGGTCAATGAAATCGTGAAAGGGAGTTTTTACCTCATAGCTCTGCCACCAGTTGGGCACATTGGGCCGTAGTCTCTGATCACACACCACCTTCCTCATCTCTTCTATGGAGGGGTCGGAGGGCACCAGATCATAGTAGGGAAGCTGGTAATCTTCATGGATGCCTGAGAAGGTAGTAAAAACGTGAGCTGATAGGTTCATATTTACTGCTGAATAGCTCAATGCAACGTTTTATGTCATATTTTATTCAAGATTTTGTTTTATTGCTCATGTGTAACAAAATAAATCAGCATTCACAGTCTCATGGGAAAATGTTACAGTGACAACCAAATATTCAGGATTGGGAGGTGGAGTCAGGATTGACAATTCTGCAGTCTTTTACGGTCACTTCACTTAAATACATACATGTATAACCTGTATGCATACACATTATTATATAGTAAACATTTTAGAACCTAATAGTTTAAATTTATTTATATATATATATATATATATATATATATATATATATATACACACACACACACACACAACTTATATAAAATATAAACAATATATTTATGGCACAAAACATGACTTTTTTTCTAAATTAACTGTGAGATTTATTAAGGCATGAAAAATGTGAAAAAAGTGTGATACTACCCTAATTATCTAATCAAATGATATGAAAATAAATGTCAATTAATTTAGATCACAGGGTTGAAACAACAAAGTGCCTTAGAGTTAAGTCGTTATTTTTTTTCTTTTGCGCACAAAAAGTATTCTCGTAGCTTCGTAAAATTATGGTTGAACACCTGATGTCACATGGATTATTTTACAGATCTTCTTGCTATGTTTCTGGACTTGGGAACATTTCAGTTGTGTTGCTGTCTATGCAGGGTCAGACAGCGCTCAGATTCCATCAAAAATATCTTAATTTGTGTATATACACACACACACACACACAACTTAAATATTCACACAACAAATTATGGCTGCATGATTCAAAATAAATATTTAAATCACTAATGTATTTTTACATATTTATACGACATTTGTCAAAATTCATTATGAAATTTTACAGGATTTTTTTGCCATTTTTAAAGTTGCTAATATATGAAATATGATCAAAAGATGATGATGAAGTTTTTTTCAGTTTTGTCAGTAAATTTCGTTAAGTATTTAAATAAATCTCTTATTCTTACCAAGGCTGCATTTTGTTTAATCGAAAATACAGTAAAAACAGTAACATTGTGAACTATTGTTATTTAAAATAACTGCTTTTTATTTTAATAAATAGAATTTACTTCAGTGTCACATGTTCCTTCAGAAATCATTCTAATATGCTGATTTTGTGCTGAATAAATGGTAATGAGACACAACCCCCAACACTCTATGGCACCTACAGCCAGTGGAAGCACTGATATTAATCACATTTGTTAAGATGCTGTGGGTGGAAGGTCATTTAAGCTCCTTTTTCCTCACCTCCAGCATTACACCGTCGTGCAATCTCCCAGTATACCAGTCCCAAAGCGTAGATATCAGCACACTTGAAAGAATCAAAATGCTTCATGTTGATCGTTTCATCTAGTACCTCTGGGGCCATATATCTAAAAGACAGAATAAATTCATATCAGGTAATGCCGTTTTCATAGTTACCTTTATAGTTAAATTTACATAAAGCAGCAGTTAACTGAACTGGCAATAGATGTACCTTTTGGTGCCGACCCTCTGATTAGGTGCGATGTCTATAGTATCAGTGATGGACTCGTGCCGTACAGCGAGCCCCAGATCTGCTATGGCACAAGTACCATTCTTTTTCACCAGGATGTTTTTAGATTTGAGGTCACGATGTGCAATGCCTGGTTTCCCTGAGGAAGGAGACCATCATGATTGAATTATTATTTTTTTTTTTTGAGTACAGGATTTGAGAGATTTTACAGTTCAGATAGGCTAACGTATCAAATTCACAATTACCCTGTGTTCCCAGGATCTCCATGTGCAGATGTGCCAGGCCGCTGGCCGCTGAGAGTGCTAACTTAATCATCCCCTCGATTGTGACGGAGTAGTGATTGAGATAGTCAAATAATGAGCCATGTTCATGATAGTCTGACACCAGCCACAGCTGTGTCCATGTGCCATTGTCTAAGAAACAGACATGAATATTCAAAGAGATGTAGGGATGAAAGAAATCACTCTCTTTATATGCTTGATCAGTGTACAAAACATTTATTAGTAATCATGTTATATATGATTACTTAAATTATTTTAATAATATACAATATTTATATAATATTATATGAACATTAAAATGTTAAAAATTAAGTAATTTAATATAAATGTACTAATTATTTTAAATAATTATAATATATATAATTTTAACATTAAAATATTACAATTTAAATAATATATCAATTTAATTATATGTAATAAATATAGATAGATAGATAGACAGATAATTTTAAATAATTACAATATTATATATCATTTTAACATTAAAATATTACAATTTAAATGTTTAAACAATAAATCTATTTAATTATATATAATATAGATAGATAGATAGATAGATAGATAGATATTTAAACAATTACAATATTATATAAACATTAATCATAAAAATATTGATTAACTAACAATTTCATTACTTAACTATTTATTAAAAATAATTATGAACTATTTGTTAAATATTTATTTTAATGATTTATTTGGGTCAATACAGTGACAAATACTACCTTTATTATCAGCAGCAATGAAGCCCAAGATGTTCTCATGACGGAGCATGATGGTCTGGTAAATCTCAGCCTCACGGAACCAGGAGCGTTCCTCTCTGGATGAGAAGATCTTCACAGCCACATCCCCTCCTCTCCATCTCCCCCTCCATACTTCCCCAAAGCGACCTTTACCTATGATCTCCTGCAGTACAATTGTTCTGGCCACCGTTCGCTGAACAAACAAGGGCAGGCCTGCAATGAGAAAACTCATTAGCACACAAACAAAACACTACACACACGCAGGAGGAGGAGGACAGAGGTGCAGCTTACCAGATCCTGAACCGGAGGTGGACAGATCGAAGATGAGATCCTGTAAGGTCTTGTCTTTGGCCAAGTACAGATGATCACAGGACGGATCCTCAACATCGAGTCGCTGCCGATGGTTATAGTTGCGCTGGTGGTGCTGGAAAATGAGCACTCCCACGATAAGCAGCAAGCAAAAGAGGAAGACCGGGCCTGCTATCACTGCCACCAGCTCTACAGGACCCCAACTGTCCCCTTTACCTTCAGGAATCCCTGAAAGAGAGGAGTAAAATGCACTTTACAGGTTGGACCTAGAGGGATGAACAAATATTAAAATTCTGTTCAATACTGATAATAGGCAGCTAATTATTTTTTATTATTAATAAATGGTCAGTATTAAAACGATAACATTTGTCTAAATACATAAATAAAAAAAATACTAAGCAAAATGAAAAAAATTCAATTTTGGTCGCTAAACGATATAGCATCTATATATAATTATTACCATTCAAAAGTTTGGGGTCTGTAAGATTTTTTTTTAATGTTCTCGACAGTATTTTAAAATCAAAAATACAGTCAAAACAGTAATATTTTGGAATTTTATTCCAATTTAAAATAATAATTTTAAAATGTAATTTATTCCTGTGACGGCAAAGCTAATTTTTTTGTAGCCATTACTTCAGTCTCCAGTGATCCTTCAGAAATCATTCTAATATGCTGATTTGGTGCTCAAACATTTCTTATTATCAACGTTGAAAACAGTTGTGCTGCTTAATATTTTTGTGGAAACCATTTTTGAATAGAAAGTTCAAAAGAACAGCATTTATTTTAAATAGAAATATTTTGTAATATTATACTGTCACTTAATGCATCCTTGCTGAATAAAAGTATTAATTTTACTATTCTAATTATAGAATTAAATGCAATATTTAAATAATTGAACAAAACTTTTGAACGGTAGTGTATTTGGCCTGTACTCCTACCGCTGGGAATCTGGAGGTTTATACTGTTGCAGAAGTCCGTATAACAGCAGTGCGTGTTGAGCAGGCCTTTGGCACTCAAGCAGTAGATGGGCTGTCCGGGTGGTACCAGGCTGACACGGGGGATGCAGATCCGAACTTGCTGCTCCTCCTGACCTTTGATGTAGGACGTAGAGGCCATGCAGGCCCCATCAGTCTCGCACACATAACTGCTGCTCTCACAGGCAGTGCAATTACACTTAAGAGCTAGAGAGAGAAAGAGAGAGGGATGAACAATTAAAATATGACTCTAAATAACTGCAATGTCTTCATCTTAATGTCAGATCATAAATGAGGATGTATTCACTTCCTTCAGTGGATGCTTTAAGTGATCTGTGCTAATTCAAAATATCCACCAGAGGGCAAGCAAGACATAAGGAATCACTGAGCAAGGTACCTCAGACAGAGGCACTGCATGCAGAGTTCAGTTCCCTACCAAACTGCATAACACGAAACTGAATCTGCCACTGCAGATGAACCCAAACAGACTGTGTATAGCAGAAGCTGGCATGGGACGGCATTATTCAGACCCCCACTGCAGCAGCTTTATATCAGCAAAACACTTCCACAGACTATTGCATTATTGCACAGTCATAGAACTCAGTTTGCAATAAATGAGCAAGATGATTAGATTTGACATGTAAGAGGTAGTAGAATCAGCAGTGTAATCAAATCCAACTGAACGTTGATATTTATTGTACTTAAAACAGAAACGCAATAAGTCTTAAAATGGTTTATTATTTATTAGAATAATCTCAAAAAAAGGTGGGCTTTGGCGTCAGAATGGCCAAGAAATGCTGGTCTGTAGGATTTTAATCACCCTTTTTATTGTCTGATCACACAAAATATATACTCAGTTCACTAAAATATCTAAAACTCAAAGCTGTATATCTTCTATTGGCAAGGTTGTTGTGAAGCAGCTTGGCATGGTTAACAACATGCCGGAAAACTCTAAATATCGACCAATTTTTCTGTACATCACTAACTTGAGACCACTGTGTTTACAAGCACTAATTCCCATCAATCGGAATGAATCCAGTCTGATTTCAGATTCTAAAAATTATCTTTATATGAACACTGAATGTTGCAAGCTGACTTATATATTCTTTTGCATTACATGAATTACATTAGCGCATTACATGTATTTGAAACAAAACGTCAGCCCAGCTGCCACGCTCAGAAACAGACAAAGCTACCGCGATAATGCAAGCAAACGCAAGTATAATTGACATTTTCACCTTGATGACATATCTAAAAAGAAATCTTCTGACATTCATGTCACATGAGTTTTAGCAATCCATTCCAGCCATTGACTTTTGAAAAAAAGAAAGAAAAATACAGTGGAACTACATGGTACAGCAGTAACAGATGGTAAGACCATTTAAGAACCTTGGAGTACCATGTAAATGCAATAATTTATAATATTAATGTACAAACTGTAAAGACTACCATGGTAACACCTAAAAAAACATGATAACATCATGGTACCTTTTTGTTTTCATACTGCCCACAACATAACCTTAAAAGCCTGAGGGCATAAATAAACTATATACTTAATCGTCAGGGGCATTCAAATAGTCACCATGTTGGACAACCATCTCACCTTTTTGTAACTTTTTTTTAGAACTATCATCACCATTATGTATTTTTGTGTCTCGTCAACAGATCAGACAAACTCAGACAGGATGTGTTGACTGCTGGCACTCAGACTGCTGAGGGTGACTGAGGTCATGACACGAGGGGTGGCGTTCATACTCCACCGGCACCCTTGATTTTATCCGAGCCACATACAATGGCAGGCCACTCAAGACAAATTGCAGTGGTTTTAAAATAACAGGACTTCAGACGCTTGACTGTTGATCACAACAGGGCCCACCAAGGAACAAAATGCCCAGTCTTTTCTGGGCGTCCCGGTCAAGAACGCTCTATTCTAATCCACTCTTCTCATTTCACTGCTTTTCTTTTGCCTTTCCCACATCTTCAGGCCTCTGTTTTTACTTTATAGTCCTACTGTCACTCATCTCGCTCCACACACACTTAATTGATCTGACTCACTACACTTCCTCCCACAGTTTTTCGCACACAGGTTTATTGCACAACTCATGACATGCAAGTGGCAGAACCACACCCTCCTGAACAAGCGTCAACTTCGCTTTTAAACCGTGTGTATTTGTGTGGGGGTGTGTGTGTGTCAAGTGTCATACAGCAAGAGAGGGAGTGTGAGAGAGTGTTTGTGTACTCTTTATAAATCTAACAGACACTGCCAGTAACCGTTAGTGGAGCGGATCCAAGTCAACTGAAGTTCACATGCACAAGGAATTTCCTGCAGATTACACGGAGGTAACCAGGCCCTGATAGCGAGAGAAAAACAACCCAGTGCCATAATAACCCTCTAATGGAGCACACACGATATCATTAAATCACTGGGCAGCAAATAGAATGACCGTAATTGCCTCATAGTCTCTTTCTAAAGAGGTCTGAGAAATTGCAATGTAGATATCACATTAATCACAATCAGGATAACTATACTTACAGCTGAAGTGTGTAATTTTTTTGGTTAAAACGCTTAAAGGAATATTCCCGGGTTCAGTACAAGTTGCTCAATCAATAGCACTAGAGGCATAATGTTGATTAGCACAAACATTTATTTCTACTTGTCCCTCCTTTTGTTTCTGGGTTGCAATGAGGCACTTAGGGCCAATCTTTCAATGTTAACATACAAGATGCCACAAGACGTAAACAAAATGCATATAACGTGATTTTAGTGTGGGAAAAACAATCACGTACAAACCCTTTTTGTGTAAAGTTATATCCAACTGTACAGTTTCGTGGTCATGGCAACATACAGGTGCATCTCAATAAATTAGAATGTCGTGGAAAAGTTCATTTATTTCAGTAATTCAACTCAAATTGTGAAACTCGTGTATTAAATAAATTCAATGCACACAAACTGAAGTAGTTCAAGTCTTTGGTTCTTTTAATTGTGATGATTTTGGCTCACATTTAACAAAAACCCACCAATTC